CCAGGAAGAGACTGAAAAGGAGGGGTTGGATCTCTTGGCGAGGCCTCGAATCTTCTAGGCTGGGATGGAAGCAGACTCCTCGGGCCTTGACCTCCTGCCCCACCCCCCTCTCAGCTGATGGAAGAGGATCCTGCTTTGGGCCATAGCCTCTGTCAGGCTCTGTCTCTCTCCGCTGGCTTCTGTCCTGGGAGGAGCAGGTATATAATGGATAGGACTCTGGAACCAGGTCCTCCCTGGGCTGCCTCTTCTCTTTCTGGTCTCTGACTCAGACACAGACGGATATGATCAGCTCGTGAGACCTTGAACAAATCCTTGCATCTGTGTCCTTGTCAGTGCTGTGGGTATTGGCGATTCCATTCCCTAGATCCTGAAGTTCACAGAGAGAAAGTATCTTTCTCAAGGGTGCACAGCTGGGAATGGTCTGAGCTTCAGTTCAGACTGAAGTCTCTCTAATTCCAGATGCCTTTCCCCTCCCTCCTTATTCTTTTAAAATATGTTAATATGTTCTTTGTTTCTCATCTTTTCTACAAAAGGAATGTATAACTTTTATAAAGATCAGAAAAGCCAATAATCATTATAGTTTAAAAATGTGTTTCCTGGGGTGCCTGGGTGGGTCAGTCATTAAGCTTCTGCCTTTGGCTCAGGTCATGATCCCGGGGTCCTGGGATCGAGCTCCGCATCGGGCTCCCTGCTCAGCAGGAAGCCTGCTTCTCCTTCTCCCACTCCCCCTGCTTGTGTTCCCTCTCTCTCTGTCTCTCTGTCAAAATAAATAAATAAAATCTTAAATAAATTTAAAAAAAAATGCGTTCCCTAATTCCACATGTTGTGTCTGCCAGGCTAGTCGAGTCCTTATAGGCGTGGGAGTGCAGGCCAGTTAAGGAAGCTGGGAGGGAAGCTGGCAGGTGCCAAACGTCTCTCACCTCTGGTCTTGTGCACACAGTTTCCCATCCTGAATCTTCCTCCCTTCCTGTCCCCACTGCCCCCCCCCTCCCATCTGGGCATCACTCCATTTGATTCATCCTTCAGGTCTCAGTTTAAATATCATCTCCTGCAGGGAACTCTCCTGAACCCTCCCCATCCAGCTGGGCTCAGTGTCTGTTCTATGTCCCCATAGCCTCCGTGTTCCCCCCATCCCAGTAGATATCTCACTGAAATGCCATCACCTGGCTATGTTCCCCTGACTAGACTGTGCTCCCTAAGGGCAGAGCCCCATCTGATCATTGCTGTACCTCTAGCAGCCAGCCTGACAAAGAGATAATGATCCAAAAAAAATTTTTTTTTAGAATAAATGGTATGTGTTACATTTTTTTAAAAAAGATTTTATTTATTTATTTGACAGAGAGATAGCAAGAGCAGGAACAAACACACGGGGAGAGGGAGAAGCAGGCTTCCCGTCAAGCTGGGAACCCGACATGGGACTTGATCCCAGGACCCTGGGATCATGACCTGAGCCACAGGCAGACGTTTAACGACTGAGCCACCTAGGCGCCCAATGATCAAATTTTTTTTTAAAAAGATTTTATTTATTTACTTGGGGGTGGGGGGCACAAGAGAGGGGGAGGGGCACAGGGAGAAACAGAGCCTGAAGCTGATATCCTAGGACTCTGGGATCATGACCTGAGCCAAAAGGCAGATGCTTAACCGACTGAGCCACCCAGGTGCCCCTCAGATTTGTTGAATGAGAGAAGGAAAGGAAGGAAGGAAGGAAGGAAGGAAGGAAGGAAGGAAGGAAGGAAGGAAGGAAGGAAGGAAGGAAGGAAGGGGAAAGGGTTTCTACATTCTCAACAAGCTCTACCCTTGCATTATTTTTCAATTAAAATGAACATTTATTGACTGTCTTTTTTTTTTAATTTTTTATTTATTCATTTGAGACACAGAGATACAGAGAGAGAGAGAACATGAGCGGGAGAGGGAGAAGCAGGCTCCCCGCTGAGCCAGGAGCCCGATGTGGGGCTTGATCCCAGGACCCCGGGATCATGACCTGAGCCGAAGGCAGACGCTTAACCATCTGAGCCACCCAGGCACCCCAACATTTATTGACTGTCTTATGGGGTCAGGCACTCTAACTTGAGGTGATTCTAATGATAAGCAAAACTGATCTAGGGAGAGAGACTATTGAACAACTAAAAAATACATATGTGTCTATAACTTGTGGGAAGTGCCATAGAGAATAGGAACAGGGGACAGATCAGAATAGCAGGGAGGTGAAGGATGACTTTGGAGTGGGTCAGATCCATGTTTGAATTCTTTCTTGGCCACTCATCTGCTGTGTGGCCTTGGACAAACCTCTTCACTTCTCTGGGCGTTGGTTTCTTATCAGGAAGAAAAGGCTGCTGACGCCTGTCTCTTGGGGATGCTGTGAGGATATAGAGAACATTCATCCATTCACTAAATATGGGTTGAGTATCTCCTATTCAGAGAAACCATTTGCCCAAATGGTCAATCTGTGTGCGATTTGAACTCAGGTCTGGCTGGGTCTCTGGATCTGGCTGATGATGGGGATGGGGGCCAAGTTCTGGTCTTGTTCCCCTTGATTTGTCCCCCAGAAGTTAGGAGCAGTGATCTGCCTGATGTAGGCAACATGCCTGTCAATTGACCCACAGTGATGGGGGTGGAGGGCTTCTGCACAGAGAAGGACCCAAGGTTTGATGACACAAAGGAGACCATTCAAAGAAAGGACACCATTTAGCAGGGCATTTCTCCTTGCTGGGGGCAATCTGGAAACTCCTGAGCCTCCATTATCCCCATGGAGCCCCTCTGACTCCTTGAGCCCCCATCCCCCTTGCTGATCCTCCCTTCTCCCTCTGTGAGCCTCTTCCAGCACCAGCTCGGCCACTAGTTCTCTCCCCCCTTACTGAGTCCATCATGTTCACTGACCCCTTCTTCTTGCCCTCATGGAGCCCCTCCCCGCCTCCTCCACTGAGCCCTGTCACTGAACACCCTCCTCCTCACTCCTTCCAAGTCCTCCTCCCTCTTCCTCATGAGCCTGGCACACCGTCATGGACCACTCCCCTCTCTGAGCCCCGTCTGAGCTGCCTCTCAGGAACCAAGCTTTCTCACCCACTCACTCAGTCTAAGGCACCTGAAAGTACTAAGAGAACATGGGAGGAGAGGGAGGGGCCTCCACCGTCCTCCTCCTCCACATAAAGTCCTCCTCCTCAACATCAAGTGAGTGCAGCTTCCCCATCAGCCTCCTCTTCAGGCTGGGGCAATAGTCACACCGGCTACACCTTTTTGGCAGACCCTTCTGAGTCTAAGGTTTGCTGGGGTTCTTCCCAATCAGTCTCAGAACTGGTTTCTGGCCCTCCAGCCCCCGCCCCCGCCCACAACAGACACCTCCCATCTCTCCTGGCACCTTCAAGTGGATGGAAACTGAGGCAAGGCCATGGTGTCTGGGCCAGTGTTTGGAGGTAGTAGGTCACTTCTACTTCAGGGAAAAATGGGCAGGACTCAGTCCTATCATTTTGCCAGGATGACTGAAGTCCCATTTAAGGAGGGTCCCTCAGTAATGGGAGACCCAGGTATCTGAGCTCCCAGAGGCATGAATGGTCCAGCTGGTCCCATTCAGTGGTCCAGATTCAGCCACTGACCTGCAATGTGACCTTGAGCAAGGCACCACTGTACCTTCTGGGTCTGTTTCCCCCTCTGTTTCTAGATGTGGGGATACCTACCTACTGGGAGGAGCAAACAGGAGCAAGGACACAGAAAGAATTTTGCACACGGTGGGGTCTTGGGCTCCTTTGCGAAAGCCGCGCCAGGCTCAGCGGCTGCGCTGTGGTTTGTTCTGCAAGCGAAGGGCTTCCTTGGCGGGGAACCAACCAGGCCAGATCTCCACTGGGACGTCAGGCACCCCTCTATACTAACCTCTCCACTGACCCAGGGAGATTGTTTTTTTTTTTGTAGTTTTTAATTTTATTATGTTATGTTAGTCACCATACAATACATCATTAGTTTTTTTTTTTTAAAGATTTTATTTATTTATTCATGAGAGACAGAGAGAGAGAAGCAGGCTCCCAAGAAGCAGGGAGCCCGATGCGGGACTCGATCCCAGGACCCTGGGATCACGACCTGAGCCGAAGGCAGACGCTTAACCATCTGAGCCACCCAGGCGCCCAATACATCATTAGTTTTTGAGGTAGTGATCCACGATCCATTGTTTTCGTATAACACCCAGTGCTCCATGCAGTACGTGCCCTCCTTAATACCCATCACCGGGCTAACAAATCCCCCCTCCCCCCTCCCCTCTAAAACCCTGTTTGTTTCTCAGGTCCATAGTCTCTCATGGTTCATCTCTCCCTCCAATTCCCCCTGCCCATTTTTCCCTTCCTTCTCCTAATGTCCTCCAAGTTATTCCTTATGTTCCACAAATAAGTGAAACCATATGATAATTGACTTTCTCTGCTTGACTTATTTCACTTAGCATAATCTCCTCCAGTCCCATCCATGTTGATGTAAAAGTTGGGTATTCATCCTTTCTGATGGCTGAGTAATATTCCATTGTATATATGGACCACATCTTCTTTATCCATTCATCTGTTGAGGGGCATCTCGGCTCTTTCTACAGTTTGGCTATTGTGGACATTGCTGCTATGAACATTGGGGTGCATATGGCCCTTCTTTTCACTACATCTGTGTCTTTGGGGTAAATACCCAGTAGTGCAATTGCTGTGACCCAGGGAGATTGGAGAAGGGGTCCTGGCGAGACTTGTGGCCCAGCCCAGGCAGAACCGATTGGGCCAAGGGGCAGCGTGCCGTAGGGGGAGGAGCACTGCCCAAGGAGTCAAGTCTCCTGAGTTCTAGTCCAGACTCTCACTGGCACACAGTGTGGCCTCAGGCCCCGCCCCACCCTTCGCCGCGAGGTGACTGGAGTCCATGATTTCTAAGCATCATCTACCAGAGCTTATGACTCAGGGACCAGACCAAAGTAGACGCGGTCCTCTTTCCACCCCAAACTGGGGGGGGGAAGGTGGATGGGGACCGGAAGCCTCGGGACGGGGGGCGGGGGGGGCGAGGGCAGAGCTGAACGAAGGACCAGGGACCTGCAGGGTTTGGGCAGGGTCCTGAGAAGGCGGGGCCGCCGAGGCGGGTTCAGGCATGCCAGTCTCTGACTGGCTGTGCTGCCCATCGCTCCGCCCCGTGTGCTATAAGACGCACCCGCCGCGCGCGCGGGGGCTGCCGCTGCATCGCTCTCGCGTGCGCGGCGTCGGTCCTCCCCTCGCGGGGGCAGCTGGCCACACCCGCGGACAGACAGCTGCGGGCCGCCGGGGGGCGGGGGATGCCGGGCTGCCGCATCAGCGCCTGCGGCCCGGGGGCCCAGGAAGGGACCGCGGAACCGGGGTCCCCGCCGCCGCCGCCCCGGGAGCTCCTGTCGTCCCCTCAGCCCTCGCCCCCGACTCCGACCTTGACTCCGACCCCGGCTCAGGTCTCGCCGCCGGCCTACGCGGCCCCGGCGTGGGCGGGCTCGGCGGAGGGGCAGGAGCTGCAGCGCTGGCGCCAGGGCGCTAACGGAGGCGCGGGGGGCACCGGGCCGGCAGGGGGCGCGGCGGCGGCGGCGGGAGCCGGGGGCCGCGCGCTGGAGCTGGCCGAAGCGCGGCGGCGACTGCTGGAGGTGGAGGGCCACCGGCGCCTGGTGTCGGAGCTGGAGAGCCGTGTGCTGCAGCTGCACCGCGTCTTCCTGGCGGCCGAGCTGCGCCTGGCGCACCGCGCCGAGAGCCTGGGCCGCCTCAGCGGCGGCGTGGCGCAGGCCGAGCTCTACCTGGCGGCGCACGGCTCGCGCCTCAAGAAGGGCCCGCGCCGCGGCCGCCGCGGCCGCCCGCCCGCGCTGCTCGCCTCGGCGTTAGGCCTGGGTGGCTGCGTGCCCTGGGGCGCCGGGCGCCTGCGGCGGGGCCACGGCCCCGAGCCCGACTCGCCCTTCCGCCGAAGCCCGCCCCGCGGCCCCGCCTCCCCCCAGCGCTGACCTCAGCGCCGGGACCCCTGGCCACCCCCGACAGGCCATCGCCGAGGGGCCGACCGACGGACTGGGACGTCGGCTGGATGGACGGCGTCACCGACGCGGATGGAAGGACTGATGGACCCCAAGAAGAAACAGTCGGGGGGCCAGGGGCCCAGTAAAGGAGGCTGAGGTGCGGTCTTGGCGGCTGGTGCATCTGAGGGGGCGGGCCGGGGTGGTGCCGGGCCCCGGATCTCCCTTCCCTGGGGCTTCTGGAGTCCGCTGGGTCCCTAATAAAGCTGGCCACTTTGTAACTGTCTCTCCCAGCCCTCCTGGGGAGTGAGATGGTAGCACCAAGTGCCCATTATACTACACTTGATCTTAGCCAAAAGGCCGAGAAGCGATCCAAGTCCCCGTTATAGAGTTGGATAAATTGAAGATGCTCAGATTCCAGGAGGGGTTTGCCCGCAAACTTTTACTAGTTGGAACCTGCACTGACGCAGGCCTCCTCCACGCCCTCCCCCCCCCCACCCCGCTTTGCCTTTCCTGGGTCCATTGTGGCTGTAAGAAGAGCCTTGCCCTTGAGACTGCTGGCTTTCTGGCACTGCCCAGCTCCACACCTTCGGGGAGGACAGAATAATGAGGTCCCAGGATGGGGTGGGGACTGGGCCAACGATGTACCACTGAATTCTCTCCTAAGCCCCTGTTTCCCATTTGAGGGGATGGCATCCCAGAGAGGTTGAGGATTTGTTTCCATCATCCTTAGGCCCGTCCACTTCTAGGAGACAGATCTTTTCTTATGCTCTCAAGCAGTTTTGCCAAGAGTACATCTTGACTTAGATAACCAGGGTGGGGTGTTTAGTAAGTCCCTAACGCCTCACCTGCTCTCCTAGGGGCCCCCCTCCCAACCTGTCTCTAAGATGGCTCTGCCAGGGATGAAGCCAGGTTACATCCTTTAATGGGCCCCAAGGGGGCAGGTATGTCATCTGCTTCTAGAAAGGGGGGCCTTAAAGGGCCAGATCTGGAATGAGATTGACTTCTCTTCCTGTCCACATGCCCTTCAGGAACCCCCACAGCTGTGAATTGCCTGGCTGCTGCTTTGCTGCTCATCTGCTGATTGGACTGCAGCCTCCCTCGTCAGTCCACGAAGTGGTTGTCCTCACTTCTGGGAAGGGCTGTAGTGAGGTTAACACAGGGCAGAGGTCTTCTTCCTCCTTAAGTCACGGAGGAATGCTTTATTCTTTTATTTATTTTTATTTTTATTTTATTTTATTTTTTGCTTATTCTTTTAAATCACACCTACAAACAGGCACTGCTTTTACTGGTGGAGCCAGGAGCTGATTTAAAGTCCTCATTTTACAGAGTGTTAAGGTCACATGCCAGCACTGGACAGAACTAGGTCCCAGTCCTGTGTGTGTCCTTCCCTTGTGTCTCCTCCCTGCCCAGGGGCAGGGCTACAGAGAGCTGTCCAGCCTGTCTGCTGTGTGACCTAGAACAACTCCGCCTCCTCTCTGGGCCAGTGTCCTCAGTCCCTCTCTGAACATAGCTGTCCTTCCTCATGTCAGGGCTTGGAAATAGGGAAAAGAGAATAGGATGAGAACATCAGAGTCCCAGGAATCTGCTTGAATCCTAGAGTTTTGAGGGTCAGGTGCATTGTTCTGAAAGGCAGAGCCCCAAGGGCCCTCCCCCAACTCTCATCAGCCCTTCCTCTTCCTCTCCTCAGGTACCAAACTTTGGGGCTGGTTTCTAACATCCAGGCTTTTCCAAACCCCATTCTGAGCTGGGGAAGGGCAGTCCAGGAGGAGGTCTCAGGGAGTCTGAGAGAGCAGTGAGGGGCCCTGGCATCCTCTGGCCTCCGTGGAGAGGGAGAACCTTCTGAAGCTACTCAGTTCATGCGGGGTCTAGAGGCCCAAAGAGAAAAAGGACTTCCTGGAGGTGACAGGAGCTCAAGCTGCGGCGCTGGGATGCAGCCAGTACTGTTGGTTTTCTGCGTTGTACAGGAGAGAGGCACTTGGTCCAGAGAAGCTTTTAGCTAATGGTGTAAAGTGCTCTGTGCCATCATAGTGTTGCCTTTCTCTGGGATTTATTATCATCAGCTTTGTCCTGATTTGGAGGGGGCAGGGAGTGCGGAATTAGAGATGGCTCTTGCTGGAGAAAGTGATGCATGTGTGTGGGAGATGGAGATTGGTCCTAGTGTCACAGGTGGCTCTGTCCCCCTTCCCCCCTTCTAGATGTCCCACTGCCTCTCACCAAGGGCCTTGACCTGGGGAACACGGTGCTTAGTGACTTGAACCCCAGCTCATAGTTCAGTACTCTGCCCACTACTCCTCGGCCAACTAATAAAAGTCACTTTCCCACCCCTGTCTGGCCCACCCAGCCCCCTCTAGGACGCTCCGTTTTCTCCTCAGTCAACAAACACTGTTATCTACTCAGTCCAGGGGCTCAAGAAGGAGCACTGATTTCAGAGGGGGCTCTTCTCTTACGGGTTCGTGTCCCAGCCCTCCTCCAGGCAGCCTTCCCTGGCAGTCACTATCCCAGGAGACCCTCTGGGGCTGGGCAAGTTGTGTTGTTGGAGGGCTATTTTTAGGCCTTCACAAATAACCATAGACCCTGGACTGGTGACTGACATGCCCCCCACTCCCCGCCTCGTCCCGCCCCGCCCCAGATTCCTGAACACTTTCTTGATGGCCCCAGCCCTGGGGGTCTTGAGAACTTCGATGGCCAGCAGTGAATCTGGGATTTCAGCAAAGGGAAATGAGAACAGGAGCCATCCTTCAGGCCAGCGTTTGGGGCTGGGAGGGAGTTCAGGGTTCTAATTTAGAACTTGCCCCTCCCCTGGATAAGCCCTTCCCTCTTTTGGAGGGCCCTAGCCCAGTGAAGGCGTCTCTGGGCGGCGCCACCAGAGGGCAGTGTGGGGCTGCTTCCCGGGGCGTGGGGGCGTGGCCTGGAGCAGGCTTGGTCCCTGGGGTCCCCGGGGTCCCCGCCCCCGACCAGCCCCCTCCCGTCCTGTCCAGCCTTGCTAGGCCTTGAGTTTTAAGGGTCTGGCGGAACGAGCGGGGCGTGGCGGTCATTCAGAGAAGGGGCGCAAGTTTGGGCCTGTGGTTGGGCCCGGCCCCGGACCCCGGAGGAAGGTCCATCAAGAAAGACTTAACTGCAAAAATGTTGCCCCTGTGGGCGGTCACCGTCTGAGTGAAAGGCTGTAGTCATTTCGCTCCTCAGAGATGTTACACTGATGATTGATCGGAACATCACATTCTGCAGCCACCTGGGGGCCAGGTTGGCTTCCTAGAGATGAAGCTTAAACAGGTCACAGCTACGGTGCCCCAAACCCGTAGTGGGCAGTCTTGAGGAGGCCTCCCCCATCTTTCCCTCCTGCCAGGTCCCTAGAGAAAACCCAGTAGCCCAGGCTTCTCAGAGATAAAAGAGAGGCTCCCTGCTTTACCGCCAGGGGGAGGAGGCACTGGGGAAATTTGGGAGATCTCCAGCCTATTTCTTCCTCCATTAGTCCTTGACCGAACCCTGGCCAGGTTCCTTGGTTCTGGAATATATTAACCACCTCCATGCTGGGCACTGTGCTGAGCACTTTACACCCTTTATCTGTTATAATCCTCCCAGCTACTCTGCAAAGTAGGGGTTATTATCCCCATTTCCATGGATGAGGAAACTGAGGATCAGGTAGGGCAGGTGACTTGCCCAAGGACCTAGAACCTGTAAATGAGGGGTCCTTTAAACATTAGTCTATGTGGCTTTTCATTTATCAGGCTAGTAAGGACTCCATTTGGGGGGTTTCCGGGTTCTTACCCTTTAAGTCTGAGTACCGTGACCCCTGGTCCTCAGATCTGGGAGGGATGTGATGAGATGCTGGAAGGGTGGCAGAAGGTGCACCCCCCTCCCCAATCACCACCACCAAGGTCTGGGCACACCCCCAGAAGCTGGCTCCCCACCCTGGTTGTCTGGGCTCTGGGGGGTGAGTCAGACTGAGTCAGCACATCTGGCTTCCGGCAAGGGCAGGCCAACGATGCTCAGGGCCTGGGCTTGCCTTGGAGGGCTTCCTCCTCTCCCTGCCTACCTGGCTGGAATGTTTGGTGCCAAGGAGAGCAGAGAGCCTTGGATGGCAGAGGAGAAGGAGGACAGACTCCATGGTGGAGGCAGAAAGTGCCCCAAGCTTGGAATAAGACATCTGGGATTCAGTGTTTGCATGTAACTTCTCAGCTGGAAGACCTTGGGCAAATGACTTCCCTTCTCTGGGCCAGTTTCCTGTGTGTGTGTGTGTGTGGTGTGTCTTATTGGGCAACTGGAGAGGAGATAACTTGACTGTTGAATGAGAGGTCACACTAAGCACCTGGCACATAGTGGAGATTCATAAATGTTTGATAGAGCCAATCTGCCTAACCCAGGAGAGACTGCTAGGACAGAGCCCCCAGGCAGCCTGGGCCTTTGCTTCCCCAGAGCATCGCCATATCAGGAATCCCTGGAACCGATCCTCCTTCTCCCCCCTACTGTGGGCCCTGGGGAATTCCATAAGGGGAGAGGTGGAGGAGGGGCAGGCTTTCTTCCCAGGAACATTCCATTCCAGCTGCTCAGACCAATGGGGATCCCAGCCAAGGACAAAGGCCCAAGGGAACCTCTGCTTATCCCAGGAGCCCCCATCCCTTCCAGGGCAGGAGCCAGTGGAACCCTGCTTCATAATATTGCCTGTACCTTCTCTCCACCATGGCCCCTCTTGAGGCAGATGTTGAAGGGTTTGGGTGGGGCTAGGTGGCTGTGGGAAGGAGGTAATTAAAGCTCTTGAAATGATTCTTTCCAGCTCCTCCCAGATCCTCAGAGCCTCCACTCTACCAATCTGGACTCCTGGATTCTGCTCCTGCCCCGGGCATCTCCTTCAGGAAGACGTCCCGCAACCTTACACAACCGAATTGATCCCATACGATCTTGGCACCGTCCTCCCTTCACAGGGGCCTTGCATTCAATGGTAGCAAGGTGCTGGGTTCTGGGGAAGGCGCCTATACTCTGAATCTCCTTATCTAAGCCACATTTGATTTTGGCTGACACTGTATGCTTGGAAATGTTACGACAGGTCCTCTGAGATGCAACCAGATTATTTAAGAAAGCAGCAAACATTCCCAATGTGAAAATGAAAGGGATTTCTTTTAAAATACAGTCGTCGTTCTTAAGTCACAGTGCAGCTGGGGTCCCCATTTTGGTTGATGTCATGGCTTCTCACTCTGACAACGCTGGGAGGCCTATTTGAGGGGAAACGTTGGTCTGAGAAATCCCTGTTTCCCTTCCCCACTGTCCTTGTCCTCTCTGACTAGGGTTGTGCCTGTGGCCCCTCAGAAAGATGATCAGCTGCTGGCTCCAGGGGGAGGGGCACCTCTTTCTCAGGGAGAGGTGGTAGCAACATAAAAATTCAAAGCAAAGTTTTAAATGAAAAAAGGGAGCATATTTATTCAAATATCCTGATAATAAAGGGAAAGGGGGGGGGCACATTTACTCACACACAACCCAGAACTTGTATTCTGCAAAATGAATGTCTATTGACTCAGTCCCCTGATTTATACATTCAGGAAGAATAAATTTCAATAATGTGAGACAAAGGCATGTGATTTTGAGGTTTACTTTGCAAGTGTCCCTACTGCCTTTCCTTTGTGCGTGTCTCTCATGACTCTTTAGGTTGGCAGTTCCCTGAGCAGCTTCCGTGTAGTTTTGGTTGGCAGTCTGGCCCTGTTGACTGACTGGCAGACTGCTTCCCCCTTGATCTGGCTCCAGGCTGCCCCTCTGCACGAAGTCTCCCCCAGTGAAGGATGTGATGAGGGAGCTGGGGGATGGGACTGTGCCCCGAGAAGGTGGCACACACTTGTGATAACATGGTGGCGTGCTGATCCGCGGAGGACTATGTGTGACTGCTGGTGACGACGGGGGCCTGTGTGTCAGTCAGGGCCCCAGCAGGACACAGGGCACCCTCAAACTGGGAAGAGATTTCAAAAGGGATTATTTCCAAAACGGTGGGCTTAAGAACCGACCAAGGGATGGTGCAGCTCTCTGGGGCTAGCAAGAGTGGGGAGCCTTTCCCAGGGGGAGGGGTGCGCCTCGACAGGAGCAGTGGCCTCTGGCTGAGAGATGCAGCCAGCCATGCAGCCTGGTGGGGAGGGAACAGGCGGAATAAACACCCCATTCTCCTCCTTTCCGTCTCCTCTCATTGGCTGAACGCGACAGGAAGGCTGAGAACAAGGGAGCCATTGATGCACAGCCCGCAGAGGTCAGCCTCCCGGGGCTGGAAGCATGGAGACGGGTGGAAAGCGCGGGACATGTCGCTGGCCGAGGGCATGTCTTCTGCTCCCCAAAGTTCACAGCAGTGCCTCTTCTCCCTTTGAGCTCCCCCACCCACCGTGGCCCATAAGGGGCGGGTGGACTGTGGCTGGGGGAGCCCTGTGGGGTGGGAGGGGTGGGCTTTCCTCCCTCAGCTTTCCCCTCTCTGGCTCTGATTCCCAGTTCTTGATTTCTGCCTGTCCTGGCATCTTTTTTTGTTGTTGTTTTTAAAGATTTTATTTATTTATTTGACAGAGAGAGAGAGACAGTGAGAGAGGGAACACAAGCAGGGGGAGTGGGAAAGGGAGAAGCAGGCTTCCCGCTGAGCAGGGAGCCCGATGCGGGGCTCGATCCCAGGACCCTGGGATCATGACCTGAGCCGAAGGCAGACGCTTAACGACTGAGCCACCCAGGCGCCCCTGTCCTGGCATCTTAAGACGGCTGCAGGAACTGTCCCTGCGAGAACAATGCCGGCCACTGAGTCACTGTTTTTCTCACACCCAGAAACCCTGCAGCACCCCCAAACACGCCCACAGGCATACCTGCTGCCACCATGGGCCTCTGACGTAGTCACCACCAGCCACGGCTGGTGTCGTGTACATCAAGAAAATATACCCTCGCCACACTGCTATGCCGCCCTAGGCCTCCACAAAATGGTAAATGCACAGAAGCACAAAGGGTCGCATGCCAAATGTGCCCCGCCACAAACACGTACAGGACACGCAGGGGCCGGAGGGCGCAGGGGTTAACAGGAATGGCCCTGGAGCCAGCCACACCTGTTCGACCTCTCTGGCACCAGCTTCCTTGTCTGTAAAGTGGAAATAATAACCGCTCTTCTCTCAAGGATGAAGTGAGAGGTAGTGACCGTGAGGACTTGGGCTTAGTGCCTGGCCTGGAGTGAGACTCCAGAAATGGCAGCCCGGGCTGGGACCTCGTGGCTCACGCTCTCCTACATCTCACGCCCGTGCGTGTTGCAGACCAGCAGTGGCGAGCGCACACGACTGTGCCAGGCGAGCCAGACACCCTCAGGCACACGTGTCCCCCCAGCCATGCCTGCTGAGAGCATGTGCCCATCAGCAGATTCCTTCTGCCCAGAAGCTCTTTCCCCAGACATCGCAGGGCTTGCTAGTCACTGCCTTTGTGTCTTTGTTGGATCAAATGTCACCCTTTGGATGAGGTTCACCCTTTTTTTTTTTTTTAAGATTTTATTTATTTATTTGAGAGAGAGAGAGAGCATGAGAGGGGGGAGGGGCAGAGGGAGAAGCAGACTCCCCGCCGAGCAGGGAGCCCGATGCGGGACTCGATCCAGGGACTCCAGGATCATGACCTGAGCCGAAGGCAGTTGCTTAACCAACTGAGCCACCCAGGCACCCCTCACCCTGACTTTTTAAAGTCACATACCCCAGCACTTCCAATCCCTTACCCTCCCACATACTTTTAAGCATCACTGACCTTATAAGACCACATCATTTAGTTTATTTTCTGTCTACCGTATTAGAGTGTAATCTTCGAAAGAGTCGGGAATCTTGGTCTTTTGTTTGCCGATGTATTCCAGCTCCTACAGGGCTCGCTGGCACACGGTGGGCTGAACGCAGTGTATACACACATCCTGTGGGTGTCTAGCTTTCTTACGTTCTGAAACAAGCACATCCAGGTGAACCCGACTGCCCACCCCAGCAGGCTAAACCTGCATGCTTTATATACTGCAAACGTCCCCTCATGCCCACATCAGGAGCTGGGAGAAACAATTTCTTCCAGGCCCCTAGCTGGGTGGGCACAACCAGGGTATGGGGGGGGCTGTTTTCAGTCACCAAGCCAAGAAAGTCTTTCCACTCACCTTTCTAGCCCTTTTGAGCCCTGCAGGAACTCACTGAGCAGGTGAGGTGGACCGACTCACCCAGTCACCTGGGGGCTCCTCTGAGGCCTTGTTTTTTTCAGCTAGGCTGGAACCATCAAAGCCACCACTTCAGAAACCACTAATGAGGTGAAATATGTTAAGGGCTTTGCCATCCGTGGATCAAAGGGGCTGGGTAAACAGTGGGCAGCGTCCAGGCCAGTGACTGGCTGATGCCCCAAGGGAAGAGCTCCCCGAGAGCCTGGCATGGCCCCAGCTAGGTTTGGAAAGGAACGACCCTGCCCCTCTAGGGGACCTGTTTAGAGCAGGCCAGAGTGTGCCCATCAGCACTTGGGAGTAAGAGAGGGAACCAGAGGATTGATGGAACCTCCCTCCCAGGTAGGGAGGCCAAACCTGGGCTCTTGCTCTGGAGGATGCTAGAAGTTCCCCAGTCTCAGCTGCCACTACTGAAGGGGTCTCCAATTCACATTCAGCTTGTCTTCTACCTGCTTCCTGAGAAAGAGTGGGGTTGGGTGGGCAGAGCTGGGGTCAAGCAGCCCTGAGCACTGGAGTGTTAGGCTAAGCCCAGGGTCATCAGGACTTCAGGTAGGAAATACTGAAATATTTACTCTTTAACAAGAGACTTGCTGAGGCAATTTGCAGGTATATGTCCCACGTGTAGACCTGCGCTCCTGGCACAGTTCTCCAGCCGGGGCTGGTGTTGAGGGAAGGAGGAGCAACTCCCCAGCCATAGCCCAGGATTCAGACACCAAGCCACCCAAATGTCCCTGCCCCACAATGCAGGCCAGGCGCAGGCTGGGAGAGGCAGCCGGGGCCCCCACAACCATGGACGGTCCTTCCCCAGGAGAAATCATGGTGCTAGGTTTAGTGTAGACAATCTTTATTGGCAGGTGTTAAGAGTGCAAAATGGTGACAAATCCAGAGGGATGGGAGAGGAGGTTGGGCATGGTTCCCTTCCTCCAAGTGAAGACCCTGTAACCAGGTCAGTGGGGTGGGAGCACTTGACTGTGGCCACTTTGGGCCCAGCACTCTTCGAAAAACAAGCTCCTAGGCAGAGGGATCCTCACAACACAGGGGAAGGGAGCAACACCCCAGAAGGGGCATGGGCCGTGTCCTACCCCTGGCAGCTTGGCTTCTGCTCACCCACACACCTTGACAGCTTGGGGTAGGGGTGTTTGGGAATTGAGCTAAACCTATCCCTCTGCAAACCCAGGTAGCCGCCTCCCGCCTCAGTTTCCCTCCTCCCAGTGATTAGTCAGGTTGGATCGCCAGGCCCTGTTAAGGGTCTGGCCCAACCCAGAGTGAGTAGTTCCTATAACATACCAAAATTTAGGCGTCGTGTGGGCTGCAGGCCTTCCGAGGCTGCTGGGATCACAGTGGGCTGGCCTTACCCAAAAAGACCCTTTCTTGGCCACAGAAATCAGCCTAAGATGATGAGCATTGAGGCTACCACCCCAAACAAGCTTTGTCTCCTGAAGGCCACTGACCCCCAAGACAAACGGCCCCTGCACCCCACCATATGCTGGTCCAAAAGTGGGGTGCAATAACCCAAAGGTCTATCAATACCAGGGCGGGGGGCTCACTCGGGGATGGGCGGGGTCTGGTCTGTTCAGTCCAAGGCCCAACCCTGCAGCAGTGCTGGGCCACTCAGCACAGGCTGCCTATCTCTGGTCACACCCCCTGCACGCTTGTGGAGGCCCCACTCCATCGGGGAAGGCCCAGTACCTTCCGGCCAGGGTCTGAGTCAGTTACAAGGCAGCCAGGTGGGATAGGAGTGGGCCCGAGCCAGCAGAGGCTGCATGGGAGTCACGTAGTAACTGACCGTGGCAGGCACGACCCCGTCGGGGCCTGGGGGGCGCCAGGCCAGGGCGGCCGCGGCAGCCGGGCCCTGCTCGGCCAGCGCCTGGAGCGCGAGCGTGGCGATGAGGTCCAGCGTCTGGCGCCGCTCGTGGCTCATGAGGCACACGGTGCTCTCATTGACCACCCAGTGCAGCGTCACCAGGCAGGCGTAGCGGCGGGCCGAGTCGGCCCCGCTGAAATGGGCCTCCAGGTAGCGCTCCAGCGTGCGCCGCTGCTCCACCACGTCTGGGAAGTCGATGAAGAAGCGGGAGCACATGTACCGTTGCAGGGCGCGCACGTCGGTGCTGGGCCGCGGCCTGAAGCCCCGCACCAGGAGGTGGCAGTACTTGAGGAGGCCGCCACCGCGGATCTCCTCGGGGCTGCGCGTGGCGATGACGCGGTGCCGCAGGTGGTCCAGGGCCTCGGCAAAGTCCCCGTACAAGCTCTCACCGGTGACCGTTGGGTGGAAGGCCTCAGACATGGGCGTGGATGAGCACTGGCCAAAGAGCAGCAGCGAGTCCAGGATGATCTGGAAGGAGTCTACACTGAACTCAAACTGGCGCCTGACCGAGTCCACAAACTTGAGCTCCACATTCTTGCCGCTCTTGTTGGACAGCGAGATGAGGCTCCAGCGGTCCGTGTCCGTGCACACTTTCACCAGCTTCTGCACGTACGCCTCCTTGAGCGTCAGGGGCGTGATCTTGGCCCGGTTCACACCGGCCGGCAGGAAGTCCAGCAGGCAGGCTAGGACCACCTCCTTGGTCAGCTGGAAGGACGCCTCGCTGCGCAGGTCCACGCGGAACACCAGGTCCAGGTCCTTGTAGCCCAGGCCACTCTCAGGGTGCAGCACGTGGCTGGCCGCGGAGCCGTGTAGCCGCACGCCCAGCACGTGTAGTCCCCGCTCCTCCAGGCGGCTGCGGACCACCTGCAGAAGACACGGCAGGACCGAGAGGGGTCAGGGGCTGGGCTCCCATGTAATCATCACACCAACATCAACCACGGTGACCACTTCGCAGCTGTCATGCCTTTGGAAAGTAGTTCAACCCTCTAAAGCTTTGATTTCCTAATCTGGAGAATGGCTCGTTTGGAGGAAAGACTCGGACAGAACAGCACAAATGACAGCAAACACATACATAGAATTTACTAGATGCCAGGTCCTGATCTAAGCAGTTTATACATTAGGATATAAACGCTCACAATTACCTACGCTATGAGGTAGGTCCTATTATTCCCATTTTACCGATGGAGAAATAGAAGCCCAGAGGGGCCAAGCAACTTCCCCAAGGTCACACAGCTGGTGAATTAAACTCAGAGTTCAGGTCTTACCCGCTACGCTATTCTACCTCTCTAAAACTGCAAGTAAAACACTTCATTTTGCACCAGGCATGCTAACTGCTCAGATGTGTTAGGAATGTAATTGCAGTCCACATGGATTGCTACATTAACCCTCACAATAATCCTGTATTTGGGCATTATTTTCCCAATTTACAGATGGGGGACCAGAGGCACAGAGAGGTTAAGAAACATGTCCAAGGTCAGAGAGTAGCCAGGTGGAGACTGAACCCAGGCCAGTTAGATTCTCCAGTCCATGTGTGCTCTTTTGACTAGGACATATTCAGCTTAATTCATCTTTACAAGGACCCTGTGAAGCAAATGTTGCACTTGTTTTAGAGCTGAGGAAACTGAGGTTTGCAGTGGTGAGACCCCTGAGATTCGAGGTGGGGGCATTAAGAAGTGGTGGGCCTGGCAGTGAAAACCCAGACCCTTTCTGCTCTTGGGACAGGAGGTGGGTGATCATCTCAGGAAGCACTCAGTGCCCAACCCAAGTGGGAAGAGATGCAGCAGACCCTGTCTGCTGACACGGGAACATGACCAGCAAACTGACCGGTCATCTTGAATCTGTTCCTTTGGCCAGAGGCATCTCTCTGGGCCTAGGACCATGTGGGGAGAAGAAAGGAGCTGGGCCCAGACAACTGGGCCCAGTTTTCTCAGCAACCCAGCGTACTTCAGGCACCATCCTGAAAGTGACCAGGCAGCATTCCTGCCCTGAGTGATTCTGCAACCCCGCCTTGCTGCCAAGTCAGCGCCCAGGACTGGGCTGGGCTGCCCTCCTCGCTTCTCAGGGAATTACTGCAAAGAATGCACTTAAGTGCTGAGGAGGCAAGCCACAGTGGGGCAATCTGAGGCGGGCGGCTCCCTCTAGGAAGGCTTCCGGGAGGAGGACCCAGACTAGGGGAAGGTATTGTAATGGCTACAGGGGTAAGCAACTGGCCATCAGGAACATGGCGGGGAGGAGCTGGGGGGGGGGGGGGCGGGCGGGGAGGGAATATCAGTTAGGCACCTATTGAACATCTGGACGTTCTCACCAGAATCTATGGGGAATAGATCTTTTTTTTTGTTTTCTCTTTTTAAAGATTTTATTTTTAAGTAATCTCTACACCCCACATGGAACTCCAACTCCCAACCTTCAGATCAAAAGTTGCATGCTCCATTGACTGAGCCAGCCAAGCACTCTGATGGGGGACAGCTCTTTATGATCTCCAAGTTATAGAT